TGATAGTGCAGTCATTTGCACATAGAAAGTCTTCCTCTTGGGGGGGCCTTGGTGTTTTCTCTTTAAGGTAGTAAGATGAAGCCCACTTATCTACTGGTGGCTGACATGGTATATTCAAACTCTAGTGAATCACACCTAAAACTTATACTTTAACCACAGCATCTGGACTAGAGTTTGGCAAAACACCCTGATGCCATAAATTTCAAGGGAAATTTCCCCATCACCCTCTGTGTGTCCATCACTATATGGAAGTCAGGTTACACATGGAAAGAGTTGAACTTGGAAGACATACAACAAAGTAATGGCCATATAAATATGAATTTCCCTTGTCTTGAGTGTAAAAAGAGGGACATTTTAAACAAATTACAGCAGGGAAATTTATCCCAATCTGTAAGATTTCAAGAGTGGCATCACTGAGAAAGTGGCCTGCAAAACCAAAATATTTTGCAAAGCCATGGTTAGCCCCCTTGGTTCATTAGTATAAATTAGGCAGAAGGATGCTGGAAGCCTGGGAATTTAAATGGTGATAAGACATGGCTCTATATTGTACTCTCAATAGCCTCAAGAGTTCCTTTGTTGTCCTCTGAACATGATCAGGCAAACCCAGGATTCGTGTTTTGATGCAGAAAAGAATGAAAGGACTAGCCAGTATGAAGCAGACTAGGAGATTTTATAAAGGATATTTTAATATGGACTTTAAGCGGGATAGTTAGGGGAGAGAGAGGTACTCAGGAAGAAAGATGTGCCCACATGGAGATACTGGCTTTTCAAGGGACAGTAGCAGAAAATAACCCATAAGCTAATAAGTGTGGGTGTGAGCTTTTCAAGTGAGAGGCACAATTAAATATGTTTGCATTAGCTATGTATCATTTTTGTTGCCCTGTAGTTACATATTAAAAAGTTACTTTTTAAGAAACTTTACTTTTTCCTTCTCTCTCTCCCTTTTGAAAGTGGTTTTACAGGATGTCTATGGAATTTTAATTTAGTTCCACTGCAGCTAAACAAGGACTTAGTACATGTTCTTTCCCTCTAAATGGAGTTTCTGGTGAGGTTTCTAGAAAATTGTAGGATTATATTTGGGAAGGGAGAAGACCTTAAGCAGTTGTTAATTGTGTTGGAATTCTTTTCTATTGGTGAATAGCTTCAACAAGATTCCTGGGTTCCTCTGTTCTTATAACTCCAGAATTTCCTTGTCTTTTCTGTTTCCCAGGAAGCCATAGATCCTATTGGTGATGTTCAAGTTTTCAACTCTTAAAAGAATTGTAATGTCATCTGTCTGCTGTGTACCAAGTAGAAGGAAAGAGCTAAGAGAGGAGAGGAAGTGCTGACTCCTATCTATGCAGAGATAGAACTGGCTTAGCCCCTAAGATATTCAGGATCATTGTGGTAAAAGTAGTGTTCAAGGCTGATTCCAGGCTCTCTGGATCCTTTAGTTTGTTTACTGCTTTCATTTGCTAGGAAAGTGGATTCTAGGGAAGGAAGCAGCGGTCCCAATGGGTCCTATTGGGCTAATGGCCCTTGTGGTGCCGCTAAGTAGAGAGGCCTAATACACAGGTGAACATGTAGCTCTGAGACTCTAAGAAGACGTCTGAGATGAAAGAACATACTGATTGAGACTGAACTGGGAAAATCACTAAGAAAGGAAAGCCACATTCCAATCTCAGAGAATAGTCCAATAGTTGAAGCCAATTACAGGAAGATGGACAAACCTTCTGTAGTCAAGGGAGCTACACTGGTCTTTGGACCCTTATTTCATTAGTCACATCTCTTTCTGCCCACATTTAAAGGCTAATGTGGTTATGATGGGTCGCCCACATAATCCAAAATAATCACCCAAGTTTAAGGTTTTATTTACTTTAATCATATTTACAGCTTTAATTACCTTTAATTTACATAATGTAGTCTTAACTTGATAATTATGATTTGGCTCCAGATTGCTCTGTAGATAAGTTAAATAGATAATACATTGATAGATAGATGATAGATAGATAGATAGATAGAAAGGCAAATGACCCCAACAATCAAGTCCTTTACAAAAAAATGGTAGAGTGTACACATATCCTCTTGCATAATTTAATGCAACATAAATATTGTACAAATAGCAATATGGTGTTTTTAGGGAAGAAAAAATGGTGTGCTTAAAATCTACTGCTTCTAAACTAAATAAATATTTATAATAATTATCTGTGCTAAGAGTGAGTGTTCTGCATAAAATGGGAACCAATGAAATATGCCATAAAAAAGAAAGGGAAACCAGAAAGGAAAAAAAACTATGATATTTTCAAAACTTAATCTTAATAGCTAACTATTATTGAGTGATAAATATGTTCCCAGTGCTCTTCTGAAATGTATGCTATCAAATGTAAACTCAAATGTGCTGTGAAGGGAGGTGAATTGGATGCCCAGTTCCTGAAATTAGGCAGCTTGGGAAACAAGCTTCAGAGCTACAGTTATTATCTACAGTCTACAAATATCAAATGGCTGACAGTGATAGTTATTGACAACTAAACCTGTGCCCAGATAATTCAGCTGATATAATTTCACCCTTTTTCTGGAAGATACTACTATCTTCCAGATGAAGAAAGGGAGGCAAAGAGAGGTATTACACATGCCAACTGCTGATCCAGAATATATACAAAGATCTACTCAAGTTCAGTTTCTTTTCCAAATGGTTGAAAACTGATGATTATAGAAACTTTCCATATAGACAGAAAGCATTCTCTAACATTGCTGTTGATTTTTAAATCTGAAATTAGAAAGATTTTGGTCAGCTAGTTCATTTTCCATCTCTGACCTTCACTCTGACTTTCTTGAACACAAATAATGACAAACTAGGTCATATACACTGTGTCTCTCAGCTGCTCGGTTCTATAAGCAAAATGCTTCCAGAACCATGTGTCCAACTCTTTATTGTAATGTGTACACATGATGAAATTTGTGTTTTATTTTTAGTGCCACTAATGTAGTCATTTTAAAGACACAGTTAATTACATACCTATAATATGAAATGCTAGACTCCTAGTCACTCTATATACTTTTGACACATGCTATTCCATGAAGATTGCTTTCCTGTCTCTCAGATGAAGAAACTTAATTTAGAGACCCTTAGAATCTTTCTGATCACATGACCAGCAAATAGAGAGCTGTAATAAAGCCTAAAAAAACCCCTCAGTCTGAAACCCTGAGGGCCATTTCCCATTCTGCACTGACTTTGTAGGTGTCAAATCTAAAATAGCACCAGATTAGACTTATAGAAGGGTGAATCATTTGTCTACAAATGAGAATGTGATGTGAAAGAAATAAGTAATGTTTCTGCATAAAACCATATTTTCTGACTCAATCAAGTAGTAATTTTCACAGTGAGAGCCTTGTTTTTTTTTTCAAATGTGATCCAAGGGATATTTTTAAAATGTGATTAGAGACTGAATGATTGTTTAACCATTTACTCACTAAGAAAGTATACACAGACAAAAAAAAGTTTTTAGGTAAGAGCAAAGCCTACAGGATTAAACATGCAGTATCTGAATCATATGTGAGCACAGTAAGGTTCTTATTATAGCTGAGAATTGAACCAGGCATTAAGGGGCTTGTGTGTGTGTGTGTGTGTGTGTGTGTGTGTGTGTAAAACAGTGTACATGTGTATCAAACAGTTCAGAGATTACACTTATACATTAGATTCTAGAGATTTGTGTCATATAAGAGGAAGGAAGCAATAATTGGAAGCATTTACCAAAGAGATGTTGGGAAGATAGGTCAAACACTAAGCTGCTTGCTGTATGAGGAACTGAGTTTAGATTCATGTCATTTATGTAAACAGCTAGGCATTAAGGAAAATGGCTTCAACTCAGGTTTGGGGAGGCAAAGATATGCGATCCTGGGAGCTTGCTGAACAGCCAGTCCAAATCAGTGAGCTCTAGACTCAGCTTAAGGTAGGCTTAAGGGACTCTGGAAATCCCTAGAAGCATTAACAGGTAGCAATTTCCACAACAAAATCCCCATTTAGAAGGTTTGTCGAGTTACATAGCCCACACTATGACCTCTGCAAGCCAACATAAGTGGCCTCACATGGCATACTGGCTTGTTTTTGAGAGTTTGGCATGAGAACTTCAGTCTCATTCTAGTTATAACTTTAGAACATATGAAGAAATCCATCATGTAAGCAAATTCATATACAACTTAATTTTTGACCTGTCCCATAAGAAGATGAAAATGTGACAATATCCATCTAAAAGACTTCAATTTTCTTAGAGCTATCAGTAAACCTCCTCCTAAGTTTTCCCTTGCCAAAATACTGGGCTTTCTTCCATCAACTTCTCCTTATTTTTCTGGTTCTCTTCTAAACTGCACAAGAATGTATGAATGTCTGTATGTATGTATGTATGTATGTATGTATGTATGTATGTATGTATGTATGTATATACCAGAAGGTCTAGTATCATTTATAAGATTTCCCATTCGTAATATACAAAAAAGGAGCCCTTCATCATTTAATGTTGACTAAAAGTAGGAGTAATAAAATGTTTGCCTACTAGTACAGTTGCGTTCTGAGTGGCAAAGTCCAATCCAAACTAGTGTTCCTTCCCATTTCTACACATTTGCTTATTGCAATCTTCTTTTTTAATAAAACTTAAATACATATATTTTCATTGAAAGTAGTTTTTCATATAATGTATTCTGATCACAGTTTCCCCTCCCCTAACTCCTCCCAGATTCTCTCAATCTCAACTACCCAACCCCATGCCTATTCTTTCTCTCTCTCATTAGAACAACAGTCAAACAGGCAAAAACAGAATATGGTAATATTCTTTTAAGATGTGCTAGGGGAATGAATCAATTATCATTTGAGAATGTTTACTACATTTGAATACAACATACAAATTCTAAATCTCAACTTGTGTCCATATATAGCAGTTACTGATAAAGAATAATTAAATGATTAATTATTCTAACCAATACTTACAACTACCAAAATATCTAACACTTTCATATGCTGTTCACAGGAATGTAACCTGGAATAGTTTAGCTATCCCAGATACACACTGCTCCCCAGAGCTAGAAGAAGGCTACCAGTGCCCCCAAGGATTTAAATGCATGGACCTGGAAGACCTGGGACTTAGCAGGCAAGAGCTGGGCTACAGTGGCTTTAATGAGATAGGTCTGTCTTACTGGTAAAATATATTTTCAGTTTCTATTTTATAATGTTTATGAATGGAAAAATAATTGTATAATACTTCATTTTATGACAAGTAGTAGTATAAAAGAAACACAAATACAAAATTTAATTCTTTGCATATATTATAATATGTTTTCCTCTACAGGTTGTGATATACAGACTCTGTATAGTCAATTATATATCTATATAGAGATAATTATGTCATTTTAGAGTATTTTGTTTTATTTGGAGTATTTAAAGTATTTTCTTGGTGAGTAAGATTCAGGGTTGCTGACTCAAAGACAAGTAAGATTTGATTTTCTTCCACTAGTAGCTAACAGTAGCAGCCAAGGTAAGTCTCAAAATATGCAACATTAGGTATTTGTGACTACAGGAACTGAGAAATAACTGGAACAGAAAACAGCTAATTAAATACATATGTGTATGTCTAGTCTTCTGTGTAACCCATAGAAGGGTAATGCTAATCCATGAACATGAAGTGCTAATGTATATATTTCTCTTTGTCTTCTCTGTTAAGTGCTGAAATATGTCATTACCTACATATCAGAATTACTATCTTCCACTTAGTTAGCACCACTCTGTTTATTATAACTCCATTATAGATGCACATATATAATTATTAAAGTCAAAATAGGTTCTACACAAGTATTTTATACTTTGAGAACTGTTATTGAAATTATTTTTAATAGTGAATGAGGATTATATTCTTTTGGATGCCAAGATTTTTCTTGACTTTTAAATGCAGAATTGCAATGGGAGATCCAATAGTTCGGGAGAGGTGTGCATCAGTCTGTAGAAGCTTCAGGATGGGATAATGAACTCTGGACTATGAACTTTAGGAAAGATCTGTAAGGTCTTGACCTTATTAAGATATTTAACTGAGTGACACAACTATAACTCTCTGCAGAACTAGGACTATAAAATACATTATGGTATGTCTTTTAAAGTCAATTTTTTAAAAAGTCTCTAAATTTCATTTTTATGTTTTAGTATGCCCTCAACTCGATTTCTGACATTGCAGCTATATGGCATTCATCATTCATTTCATTTGACCAAATGATATAGTTTCCTATTTCACAAAAATCTAGAAGCCAACAATTGTCACTGTATTCAAAGTTAATCCTTCTTTGCAACTAATCTTAAGACTGTCTGACTGTCCTTGTATTTCACAAGCACAGAGACTTCTTAGGGCAGTACTGACTTTCAAGAATAAGCAAGAATCTTCAGATATTGTGTGAGAGATGCGATGCACATATTTATGTAGGCTGAATGGGATAAGGTCTATCTAGTGACCCACCTGCCAGACTAGAATCCGTGACTGTAGCTCATGTGTTTAATAGTTGTGCTTACATCTCCTATACAAAGTGACCAACATTCAACAACTCACCTTACTTAGCACAAACTACCTCCAACTTCTTCCTTCTTTTCTTTGTTTTTTAAATGTTTATTTGTTTGTTTTCAAGATGGGGTTTCTCTGTATAGCCTTGGCTGTCCTGGAACACACTCTGTAGACCAGAATGGCTTAAAACTCTTAGAGATCTGCCTGTTTCTGCCTCCTGAGTGCTGAGATTAAAGGCAGACACCACCATCACATGGCTAATGCCTCCAGTTTCTACATTATATTGCTAAAATATATCATACCCTAACTATTTAAATGCAACATCTTTTGCCAAAGTCAGTTATATTCAAGTTGATTCACCTTTCTGCACTGTGACTAACAAAGAACTCAATGAATATAAGGTACAACCTCTCTGTGCAAGAGAACTTCTCATAGAGTGCTTGGGTGTGGCAGGATGAAGGGAGCTTGAAAGGATCAGTTCTAGTTTGGAATTTCCCTGGGGGCAGTAGGCCCAGTTAAACCAGTCCTTTTGCTCTTGTTTTGCTCAGTGGGATTTAAGCTCTTTTTTTTCCTGTTTCTGGGGCCTTTGCAATACCTGACTATTGGTGCTTCCTTCATAAATACTGACTAATGGTATGAAAACAAGTTTGTGGAAAAACACTATAGAAAATTAGGTGTCTGGTTTGTTGATGGTAGCCCTCAAGACTTCTATTTTTATGAAAGATTAATTGGATGTTTGATTCTTTGTTTGTTTGTTTGTTTTGTTGTTGTTTTGTTTTTCTAGATAGGGTTTCTCTGTGAAACAGTCCTGGCTATCCTGGAACTCACTCTGAAGACCAGTATGGCCTGGAACTCATAGAGATTGCCTGCCTCTGCCTCCCAAATACTAGGATCAAAGGTGGTGGTTGCCACCACCAGCTCTGTTTGCTTCTTTTGCCAAAGGATGATTGAAATCATTGCCATTGTTGGACAATTGGTTAGATGACAAAATGTCTACTTTGTATGATAATCAAAATGTTTTAGGCCTGAGAAATGACTCAGTGGGAAAGAGTGCTTTCTGTAAATGCACAAGGACATGAGTACAAATCCCCACGATTCACACATCGCTGGGCATAGTTATTTGTAACTACAATCCCAGTACTCAGAGAGAGGCATGAGGCAAACAGATCTTGAAAGCTCCTGGCCAGCCATCCTAGCTGAAAATTGAAAGCTTCTGGTTTACTGAAAGTGAAAGACTTAAAAATTAGCAAAGAAATATAGCCCAGTTAAGGAAACTGTCCAAACTGAATGTAGGGCAGCCTAACCCAGAAACTAAGGCCACTACTATGACTTAGTGCCTGGAATTTACCAGCTTACAAGGCCATAAGATAACTGGGTACCAAGAATTTCCAGATGGCCACCCTCCCCAAGAGACTCATGGAGGAAACAGATTGCCCCACTGGCCAATGTGTCAATAATTAACAATTAAGGGTCCCTATGAAACAAAGAGATAGCTACCATTTGCTCAAGCAAGATAAGCATATCCTGAGGTCTGCAGGTTTTACAACTGGTGG